AAAAACTGAAGACAAAAAAATAGACTTTAGTAAACATAAATTTTATGCGTGGTTCTTTAGTCAAGATTTTAATAAACCAAATATTGTATCCGATGATTTCGATGTTACAACAAAATTTAATGTAAGCAGTACAGTAATAGTTTTCTATAATTGAAATATACTTATTTATATTTTATGGTTTGACCTAATGCATTTTTAGAAGTGTAAAGGAGTACAGGAATTTGAATGCCAAGAGAGTGTTCATATTCCAACAATCAATAATAATATTCAAGAAAATAGTGATGATCAAAGTGAATATAGTGTTGATGATCCGTTACCTGAAAGCGTAGGTTATTTTAAATGATTAAATATGCCTAATGTAGTATTTGAACTTTATATAAATTATAGTTTACTTTTAGAATACTGTATGCTATTAATCTGAAGACATAGAAGATCCAGGTAACTAGCCAAATCTCATCTCAAAAGCAATACAATTAATAATTAAAAAAAAGGGACCAGTTCAGATAAAACAATTTAAATTTTCAAGGAATGAAGAAAATAGATGTTTTGGTGAGAATTATTATAATAAGATGGATAACTAATTAACCAATCTTGGTTAATTTACTTAATAAAAAAAGATAAAGTATACTGTTTTTCATGTTGATTATTTGCAAACATACTAAATTTGACTAATTTTATTGATGGAATTAATGACTGGAAACATTTAGGCGATAAAATTAAATCCCATGAATTTAAAAAAGATCATCTAAAAACAATGCAGCAATGGATGGATTTGTCTTTAAATTTAGAAAATGGAATACATTAGATTATCATATTCAAAACCAAATACTTACTAAAAAAGATAGATGGAGGACTATATTAAAAATAATCATTGCATGCATATTTTATCTTGCTAGTCAAAATGATTTGTTTGGGGGAAAACATTGTACGATTTATAGTGATCAGAATGGTAAATTTCTTAAGTTAATTGAAATGATTACACCATTTGACAATCCAATGGTTAAACATTTAAGAAAAATCGAGAAATTTATCAATATTAATTGAGGCCTCGAATTCAGACAGAGTTAATAAATTTAATTGGAAACAAAATAAGAATGGAGATAATTTCAAGAATTAAAAATGCAAAATATTACACATTAATGTTTGATACTACGCCGGAAATATCTATTAAAGAACAATTAGCTTTAATTATTAGAATTGTAAAAACAAAAAAAATTAATGATACTAGGGTAGTAGAAATACAAGAATACTTTATACATTTTCTTCATATAACTCTCAAAACTGGATTGGGATTAACAGATGTTTTGAAACAAGAGCTGCAAATTTTGAGTTTATGTATATCAAATTGTCGAGGTTAAGCCTAGTATAATGGTGCGAACATGATAGGGCATAAGCAAGGTGTTCAAGCTCGTATTTTAGAGTAAAATCAAAGAGCCCTATTTTTACCATGTAATAGCCAACCTCTGCCCTGGGCCCCACTAATGATCAGGACGGCCCTGATAATACTATAATCATTTTTATAGACACTCATAAAATTATAAATATTATATATTTTAAAAATAAAAAAAAATTGAAAATTGAAAAATACTTAATTTATGCATAATATAATTTAATCAACGTTCAATTATTCAATTATTAATCTCTATTGTAAAAGACGATTATTGTTTACACAAACAAATAAATAGTTAACAATTTTTATAAATCACTATGTATATTATATTTATAATTATACAAACAAATGCACATAGATTATAATTTTAAACAACCTATGTTTATACTAAGATTTTTTTCAGGTAACACAGATAACACACTACTTATGAATCTTAATGTTGTTATGAAACATTTTTATGGTAACTTTATTTCTCAATATTTTAATGATACTTTTAAAAATAACTTATAGTTATTTTATAAATAATTAACACCACGTTAGTGGTAAAATTGTTATTATTAATGATTAATAGCTATTAAGTTTTAATTAAGTATTCATTAGGATTCGAATAAAATACGGTTTTTTGGAGGGAGGTGAAGCAAATTATAAAACATTTTTAAACAAGTTACTTATTTAAAAATACTACTGTGTAAATGATCATCAACAATGTGATCAACATTGGCTATTCAATTATTATTTTATAACTAAAATGAATTAAATTTGATTTATACTCATAGTAATTACAAGTAAGTGTTCAGTATTTTATTATTATTATCTAATAATCTTCGGGTAAGTAACTAAACCAATTAATTATAAAACATTGTATATTACAGAAAGCCTCTTGAACAGATGTTATTAATTATTATAATCACACTTTCTTTTTATTATTATTATCCAGATATTATACCTCCTGAATGGCAAGAGTCGGACATGTTAGAATGTAAAAGTAAGTTTTTACATTTACGATTATATCAGTTATACATTGTAAATTGGATAATACATATAATCTATAGAAAAGTCAAAAGAACGATAGTTGTTAAAAAAAAAAAACTTGTCACAGGAGTTAGGGGCAATTAAAAAACTTCTATATAAATATCTTAAATATCTTATATATCTTTGAGGTACACCAGAGGACACAGTAGTAGAAGTGGAAACTATCCCATGAAATTTGACCAAAAGAATTTTGATTCCGATTGGAAATAAATGAACCAAACTAGGACATAATGGGTTCCCCTGTACGTGCATGAATGCGTAATAGAGCATGGTGATTAATTCCATTAAAACCCTTAGCGAAATAAGAATATATTAACTTGGGAAAGGTCTTCGAAAGGCGTTAAATATGTAATTACAAAAGGTGACATTACGAATAATTGTAGAATTTTTAGGACGGAAGCTGTGTTATTCATTAGTTTAGATAGGGTTGATAGAGAGTATGATATTTCTTAGGACAAGAGATTCAAGTAGTTTGGTAACATGAGACAAGATGGATATGAGCCGGTTGTTATCAACCAAGGAGGCATCGCCTGATTTAAGAACAAGAGTTATGTAACTAAGCTAAATCAGGGAACATAACAGAACGTTTGAAAAGAATTCAGAGAGGGAAAGAAAGTGTATATCTAAAATTATAGAAAAACATACCTGATATACCATCAGGATAGACAGATGTAGTGCTATTTAAAATTGATAAACCGTGGAAAACATCATCGACCGAAAAGAAGCAATTATTAGGGTAGTAAAACGATAAATAAAAAAATTAGAAAGACTAGTATTGATAGATTCAGTAACATTGTTATTTAGAGAAGGGTACACAGAGTTAAAGTACATGGAAAATATATTTACAGAGTCTTGTTTATATTTGCTAATAACTACGTTATAACGAACGAATTTAGGAATAGAACAATTGGAACTCTTTTTTTTTTTACGGACTATTCGGAAATATTCACGGAGTAGATTTTAAGTTTTTACACAGTTCGCTTGCGACTGTTGTTCACAACGCATGCGTTTTAAATGCTCTCAGTTTTTTTTCTTTCTTCATTTTGCTCTAAAACACCTCACGTAGTTGTGCTTAGTATCAAAAAAGACAGGCAACCGACCTGGGCATTTCTTCCTTCAACATACCAAATTTACTTTAACCGTTCCGTCAAAAAATACAAAACTTTGGTAATTATAATTACTCAATTATATAATCGTTAACTCCTATCGCAGTTTTGCGCTCCCCGGCTATTAGCCGGCGGAATCCTTCTTTTGTAATTACATCATTAGTGCGATAAGCGCACAATCTACGAAAAATGAATAGAACTCTGAATACAAAAAAAAAATATCACAAAAACCAATTTTATTTCTTCTAATTGCACACAGGGTAACTCAAACGATGTATTCGAAAACTTGTCTGAAAACTCCGATAATCATTTTGTTTTCCAGTGGAATAAAAATACGAATAAGCGTAATCTCTCAACCTAAAAAAAAAAAAATAATAATAATAATAATATTAAACCTCTATTCACAACTACAAATATATTTTCATGTCTTACTGTTGACGATGATGCAGTAGACATTATACTTGAGCACGAACAATCCGACCAAATTCCTGTCAATAGTGAGGTCAAAACTCCGTCACCACCACCAATAATAGTCAACGGAACAACTGACTTTGTACGTTTCCGATCAAATTTAATCGAATTAATTGGTACAGAAAATTTCCTATTCAAATCCTCCTCAAATAGTTTAAAAATTACAATGAAAAACTCGTATAGAGTGGTTATAAAATGACGAAGGTGCTGAATATCACACCTACCAATAGCACGAAAACAAAGTGTTTCGTATAGTAATTCGAAATCTCCTCCCTTATACTCCAACAAATGAAATTGAAATCGCAATTCAAGAACTGCGTTTCACGGTTCAACAAGTACTAAACGTCTGACATCAAATCACTAAACTTGCTCTACCGGTATTCTTTGTAGATCTTTAACCTACCCTGATAAACAAAGATATATTTCATATAACATCTATTTTCCACACCAAGATAAAGATTAAAGAGCCACACAAACGTCGTGAAATAATATAATGTTTAAATTGTCAAAAATATGGCCATTCAAAAAGCTATTGCTCACACCCACCTCGCTGTGTTTGCTATGCTGCATTCTACTTGTTCTTCTTGTGTACCAAAACAAACGATCAACCTCCATCGTGCGCTCTCTGTGGCGGAAATCACACGGCAAACTACCGCGGATGTACTGTTCACAAAGATCTATAAAAATTCCATAGTGGCTCAAAAACCCGGTTTAAAAATAATGTGAACCCAACTATCTCTGTAAATGGGGTAAAAGCTTCTGTTGATGAAAAATACCCTCAGATCCACCGAATTTTAATCTCAATGACATCAAAACATTCCCAAACCTTCCTCATAATCATACTCAAAACACAATCCCAAATAAACACCTGCATAAACTCGACTCATTCCCAGAAAATAACTTAACATCTCAATTTTCATCCTTTAAAACAGAATTAAAATCAATAATTAATCCTCTAGTTCAACTTCTCACAACTGTCATAAACCAATTGATTCTAAAAAATGACAAATAGACAAACAATTATAAATTCTCTCAATTTATTCCTCAGGAATATAAATGGGCTTAAACGATATAAACCCGAATTATTAAACCTTTTTATTGAAAAACATATCGACATCACTTTAATCTCCGAAACACACTGTACTCCAATCTCCAAAAATTTCTTTCCTGGATACAAAATATATAGAACTAATCATCCCGATGGTACTGCTCATGGCGGATCTGCTATTATAATATCTTCAAAAATACAATGTCAACCCATACCTAATCTCCAGACAAATACCATTCAAGCCACAAAAATACAAATCACTTTAAATAATATTCCTACAACTATTTCTTCAGTCTATAGTCCTCCGAGACCTGCAATATCCTCCCAGGAAGTAGACCAGTTCTTAAACTCAGCTGATAACACATCACTAATTGGAGGTGATTTTGACGCGAAACACCTCCAATGGGGTTGCCGTCTCGAAAACACTCGTGGATGTATGTTTCAAAATATTTTACGAACCAAAAAATATACATTCATTTCTCCACCAGGTCCAACATACTGGCCATCACATCGAAACAGGCAGCCAGATATATTAGATTTATTCCTATCCACAATTCCCAGACATATAAACTTTACTATAAAATAATTGGATGACCCTGCATGTGATCAAAGTTCAGTTCTTTTACAAATATACTGTCAAATATCTCTAAATACTCCACGACTTTCCCTAACAAAAGGGCCAGTCAACTGGAACCTATTTTCCGAAAATATAGAAAACTCAACAAACCTGAAAATCTCACTAAAAACCACTGACCAAATAGAGGGGGCAGTCCAAAACCTCACAACTTCAATTCAAACAACTATCTAAACTCGTCATTCAAAATAAATAAATCGGCGGATAATTCAGTAATTGAAATTTCTCTTCCCTATCACATACACAAATTAATAAAAATTAAGCGCTGACCTCGGTCACGCTGGCAACGCCACAATCTGCCTTCTGACAAACGTATATTAAATAATTTAACCAACCTAATAAAAAAACAGATACAAAAACATAAATCAAACTTTTTCCAAGAAAAATATCAATCACTTAACACTAAAGATGGCTCCTTATGGAGAACCATAAAAAATATTTTCAATTCAAGGAACAATCTACCCCTCTGTACGGACCAAATGGCCAATTAGTGATCTCTGATAAAGAAAAATTTAACCTTTTTGGAAGCCACCTTTCGGAAATATTTACTCCCCACCCAAACATAAATCCCGAACCTTAGCACTTAGATATAGTTACAACCTTTCTCAACTCCCCCTTGCCTATGTCCCTCCCTGCAAAGCATACAACTCCAAATTAACTAAAATATATAATAAATAAATTAAAAATAGGGAAATCACCTGAATATGATTTAATTACTAACAAAATACTTCATCAACTGCCAAAAAAAAAACTAATACTCACACTTACATTTATCTATAACTCGATGCTAAGGCTCTCCTATTTTCCTTTATCATAGAAATTGTCTACAATAGTCCTTATACATAAACCACAAAAACCCAGATATCTAACATCTCCATATAAGCCGATAAGTCTACTTCCTATTTTGGCAAAGCTATTTGAAAAAATTATCCTTAAAATAATAAGGCCAATAATGAATTCACTAAATATTATATCTCACTCACAATTTGGTTATAGATCTCAACACTCCACGGTACACTAAATCCACAGAATCACGGACAAAATAGCAACCACTTTCGAAAATAAAAATTACTGCCCCGGTGTTTTCCTTGATTTTGCCCAGGCTTTCGACCGAGTGTGGCATTTCGGCCTTCTTTATAAATTAAAACTTTTCCTTCCTACACCCTACTATTTATTAATTCGTTCTTATCTCAGTGATAGGTCATTTACCTTCAGACAAGGTAACTCGATCTCTTCTTACTTTTCAATACAATCCGGAGTCCCACAAAGAAGTGATCTCGTCCCCGACTTATTTAACATATACACATCGGATATTCCCAAAACAACAAACACAACCCTGGCAACATATGCTGACGATACAACTATACTGGCTTCTGACATAGACCTCATGCAAGCCTCTCTAGCTCTCCAAACACATATCGATCTAATAAGCACATGGGCTACCCAGTGGCGAACCAAAATTAACCCTGAAAAATAATTTCACAACCCGCAAAAAAGACTCCTTATCACTGAAACTCCAGAGATTAGATATTCCCAAAACCACACAGGTAAAATACTTAATAATTATATTTGACAAACGATTAACTTGGGGCCTACATTTAAAGGCAACACGTAAAACACTAAATACCCATCTACACATGCTTCGTCCTATATTGAAATCAAAATTATAAATCCACACAAAATCTATTTTATACAAATCCTTGCTAAAACCTATATGGGCTTATGGCGTTTAAATCTGGGGCTGTGCAAAACCATCTCAAACTCGCATCATCGAAGCCTTCCAATCAATCACTCTACGTTTCATAGCTACAGCCCCTTATTACGTAACAAACAAAGCGCTACACAAAGACCTACGATTTGACCAGCTAGCCAAAAAATGCTACACCAAATTCCATAAAAAACTAGAGCACCTCCAAATCCTCTAATCCAACACTTATCTTATGTTACACTCCCTTACCCCCCCCGCCGTCTCAAAAGACGTTGGTTCAAGATCTATTAAACTTATTTAAATTTTGCGTTCTGCAGGGTTCTATCATTGGATAGCCTCCCTCATCAAGCTATCATGTTATTGTTATTTATTTTATGTGCAAAGTCATTATAATTACTTATTGTGTTTTTTTTTTTTTTTTTTTGAACACAGATTGTAAGTTTTAAAAAAAAAAAAAAAAAAAGTTTCATATAATAAATAAATAAAACTATAAGTATGTCATACAAAATTTATATTGCGACAAAAAAATGATTTAAGTAATGGAAAATAATCTGTTTTTATATAATTATAATGCTAGAATGTCAATTATAAATCCGTTAATAAATATTAAGATACAAAACGTACCGTCAAATGTCTGCCTGTGTAAAACGTGTAGTAGTGTGCAAGTGTGCTGTTAAATATCGGAAGAATTTCGAGTACATACTTATACATTAAGTAGAATTACAATTTTATATTGCGCTATATGTGTTTACGTTCCGTTCGTGTTTTTTATACCTAATATTAGATGAGGTAAAGTTTTTCCTTTTTAGTAGCGATCAATTATGTGCAAAAGGCTATTTAGATTTTCTTGATATAAAAGAAAATATTGCATCTATCGCTTTTTTGACGGAAATATTTAAACATATCAACTATTTAAATTTCAAACCACAAGATAAAGAAAATATTAGTGTGTCATCTACTATCAGAAATCAAAGAAAATATATCTCTTTTATGAAGATATTAAAAACGAACGCTTGCACTTTCCTAACTTACCGACCGTTTTTGATGATAATGATGGTATTGACGTCAATCAGTTCATTAAATTTTAATAGAAACTTAAATCTGAATTTGAAGTTAAATTTACTGATTTAAAAAAAATTAAGAATGTAGTGCCAATTTGAAACAATTATTTTTCTTTACATCCCAAAGACGATTCGAGTAATGAAGCCACAAGCATTTTTGGATTTTATAATGCTACCCTGAAAATAGAAATAATCAAGTTTCAGGAAGACTTGGGATTAAAATAAAAATGTATTCAAGTCCTAAAAACTTAACAATGCGATCAGTTCTGGATAAAATACTTAAATATGATTAAATACTAATTACTTTGGTCAAGTTAATATCCAAAATTCAAAAGTCTGGTTATAAAGCTGTATACAATGTTTGGTTCAAAAAATGCTTATAAAGCATCTTTTTTCGAAGATGAACTTTATCAAAAATATAACAGATCTCGTTTAACGAGTGATCTTAACGAGTTAATGCAAATTAGCTGTACAAGTTTGACATCAAACATTTAGAAGCAGGTTTAAAATAAAAATGTAAATTTTGGCATCAAATCATACTTAAAGTTTTCTTGTTTCAATCGGTTTTTTTTTCAATTATAACTTGATAAATAAATAAATTAATCAATAAATATAAAGAATAATTTGAAAAAAAAAACGTATTTATTGACGCGTGTAAAAACCATGAAAACTGTTAGGGACCGCGGCCAGTTTGATAAGTTTCAAAACGGACCTCTATAGAAATTAATTGGGGACCCCTGGTATAAACCGTATAAATATTACATATAGTTATTATGTATTATACAATAATTAGGTAATTTATGCGTACAATTTAATACATCAATAAATTATAGCTATAAATAGATTCAGAAAAAAATAAAACATTGACAAATAATTAAATAAATAGTTGCTTTAATAAAAATGTCGATAATAAATCATCATAATTATTACAGTTCAAAGGATTATAGAAGAACGCGACTTCTATACATTTTTATTCTGTAAGTTATACAATTGACTATTATGTATTACTGATATTTCCATACTTTTTTTTAAAAAAAATTCAAACATTTATTATTGCAAAAATAATTTTGTCATTAATATTATTATAAGAAAAAACTGAAAAAAAATCGAATATACTTTGCATGACGAGTAGCCACTGTTGTAGGTGAGAAGTTTGAAAAGTAAGATATAAAGAGGAATTGAATATATCTGTACGCAACGACTATTCTCTGCTAATGAAAAACAACTTTAAGCGGAGTTCATTTATTCATGTATCTTTTGAAAGGACGTAATATTAACAATTTTCGTCAAAATTGGATATTAAAATTCTTATGAAAAAAATACAATAATAAACTCAATTGAGTCTACATGGATGAATATAGTGCTAACTCTAATAAAAATAGAACTGCGAACCAGTCTTGTCGGTCTTATTTTAGAATTCACTTTGGTCTGGTCCTGTCCGTCCACAATTTTTTAGCCCGGTTCAGTCCAAATGACCACAGAGTAAAACAAAATAACTATAGGGTTAATAAATACGCAGAAAAATAAACTATTATCTGAGCCTTGGGGTAATATTTTTATTATATATGGTAAAACGATTTCAAGTTCACAGGGCGGAAACGAATAACTCTAACGAAGAGCTCTATAACCTGCACTATGATCCGTTATATATCAGAATACACCGTTCGGAGCATCGAAATGTATCGGGGAGCGATGTCCTGCTCCTTTGACGGAGTATTCGCTTTACAATTGGTCGCCGTCAGTCGACTGCGCAAGTTTGGACCGATTATTGTTCACTGCCCGGTGCGTTCTTATTTGGAACGGAGCATTGATAGGTAGTAGTATTTTTAAACATTTTTGAATAAGTTTGAAAAACAAATTAAATCGTAGGTCAGGTTTTTTTAAAAAAAATCCTACCTGTTTTGTAATTTGTGATACATTAATTTACAATCTAATAATCAGATAATACTTAATTAAATATTAATTTAACATAGATACCATAAATACATTTATATTATAAAAGAAGTACATTCAAATTACATAATTATTGTGTTTTAAGCTCATATTTTTGATAAAATTTGTTGAAACACAAAAAGTTGGAAACTACTTTTTAATTAGAAATTAATATAATATTCACTGTTACAAAGCGTCACTGTGGGGGGAGGGGGCGACAGCCGTGTGATGTTCTTTTTTATTACACAAAA